AAGTCTGTCCTCTTGTTCTTTTTACAGATCAATTCAAATATATTTTATTAACAAAAAATAGAGAAAATTTAGAGATGGGAAACAGGAGAGAATGAGGAAAAGGGGGCACACTTTAATATATTTATTTCTTGCTGCTCAGTATTAAAAGTCTAGGCTTATAGAAAATAAGACCTAACCTGAATGTCATTCAGTTTTGTTTCCTTTTTCATATTCACATTTCCTAAAAGAAAAACCAAACATATTCACAAAATAAAGTCCCGAGAGAGGTTAATCCCATTAAAAGTATTCTAAATGTATATGACCGTAAAGAAAAAAAGCTCAAGGCTTTTAAATTCCAGTTACTCATATTACAGTTAGAATTCAACTTTCATTGCTGAGCAATAAATCAGAGTAAGAATATTAAGGCAAACCTGGAGTTCTTTGCTTAATAATTACCTAATACCATCTTTTCACAGGCCATTTAAACAGTTAATCTTCATTTCACAGTCCTCTTGTCTCATTATCCCTAGGCAATCAAAACGGAAGCAGTCTATCACTGAATAAACTTTCTTACACTACCATCTGAAAATTGCCAGTAAGATATTTGTTTAGGCTCATGGGTACAATGTAGAGTAACCACACTTTGCTATTATTAAGATTTATGCACCATTTCTACTCTGAAGCCAACCACCTTCTTAACAATTATTTACAATCATAGGAAATTCACTGGCTGGAAAATCAAAGTGTAACAGAAATAAACCATTCAATTCTAACCACTTATACTTCATCTAGTTATTAATTTCTTAAAATAGTAGAGGAAGAAATAGTAGAATAAGAAATACTAAGTCTACTGTCTCTGTTCTTTTTGCATAAAAATGCGAGCATGAATCATGTTTTTAGAAGGTTGTTACATCAAAGACAATTTCAAAGTGTTTTTAGGAAGAGTAGGACACTGTAACAATAAATTGTTTTTAAAGGTCAGAGAGAGTGAGTACACTATGGTGACACATATTACGGAAGAAATGAGTATAATTTTGACTTAAAAAAATAAGTATCTGGCACAGTGCCTGCCTGGCAAGCACAACGTCCTGAGTTCAATTCCCAGTACAAAACAAAAAACAAAAACCACGTAAGCATCACGAGCCGGGTGTGGTGTCACATGCTATAATCCTAGCATTCAAGAGGCTGAAGCAGGAGGAACACCAAGAGTTTGAGGCCATCCTGGCCTACACAGTGAGCTCAAGGCCAGCCTGAGGTACATAGCAAGACCCTGTGTCAAAAAACAAAAAACAACAACAAAAAAGAAAACATAAGTATCAAAGTGTAGTCTGATAAGATCATAACAAGTATCAAAGCACATTTTCTGTTATGAGACAAGCCAAATGGACCATGCTTTGGTTGAAGAAAGAGCTGTTATTCATAAAGCCTGTCAAAAAACATTTAAGTAAAACAGTCAATAATCAAGCAAGAACAAAACCTACGAGCATAGCCTCATCGTTCACATTAGGCAAGCCTTATACATCTCAGGCTTACACACAAGAGAAGTAAAGAAATGACATGAGTACAACACATTCACAATTGCAGCCTGATGATCAAAACTCTGTACAAAGGTGATAACTATCCACTGGGGTAAATAATCCCACTTATCTGCTACACTGCTACCTTCAGAATCACAGAATATGAAGAGCTACACCAGATCATAGCAATCACTCATTCTAAACTTCGGTTTCATCAGCTCAGAAACAATTTTCACTGAAATGTTCATGGCCAGAACGGTGCCTCATGCTACACTACTCTTCCCACTGTAAAGTGATTCCAGATGCCCAAGCTTCCAATCCTGTCCAGCCCAAGAGATCATTTTTTAAACTCATTTTTCTTCAAACGAGCAATCAGCTGCTGTCTTGTAAAAAGCAGACTATAATAGCAAAAAGTACCAAGAGATGAAGAGTTTTAAGAATGCAGTTCCTTAACAATGCTGCAAATAGGACCCATTTTTCTCCCTTAAGTCAAGTACTCTGGTGATGGTTTCTATTCAGTCTTTGAGGAAGTAACGCTACAGCAGCCTATCACAGCAGCAACCTCTGCAGTCTCCGCTCCATTCAGAAATTAAAAGTACAGCTCTATAAGGGCTAAAAAAATAGGAAAACACCCTCTGCTCCCATTACTATCGGAAAAAAAATGTGCGATATTTATTCCCCTTAGTTTTTATTCCCTCTAAAGGTTTATAAGTAAAGATTTATGAAAACTGTTAACCATTATGAGCAATACAGGCGGCACATAAACTTTAATAACCACCTCTTGAAAAAGTGGGATCCGACTTGCTGCACCCTAAAGACTGTGGACGGTGACTGTTAGCAACTAACAAAAACATTAGAAAAGCTTCTTTCCAGCATCTCATTTAGCTCTATTTATGCTGAGCCGTAATTTCTAGACCTGCTAACGTGCACAGACACTGTGAGTATGAACATGAACCCACACACATCTCTTAACGGGGTGATGCTTGAGTCATGAACTCATGGACCGTTATCAGGCTGTATCTTTCTCATACTCATTCAAAAGATGAAAATGAGAAATGCATGCTGTAACGCTGTACTATATGCAAAAAATTCTAATGATTTATATAATATACACTGATGTTTGAAAAATGTCATAGTCATAAATTTTTTTTTTTTTTTTTTGAGACAAGGTGTCACTATGTAGTACACGCTGGTCTTGAACTCACTTATGTAGCCCAGGTTGGCCACTTATGGGGATCCTCCTGCTTCAGCCTTCCAAGTACTGGGATTACAGCTGTGTGTCACCACGCCCAGCTGGTGTGTCACCATGCCCATACATTTTATAAAATGTATGAAATTACTTTTGAACTTTCCTTCAGAAATAATTAGGAAAAGCTGGATGTAATGGTGCAGGCCTGTAATGCCAGCACTTGAGAGGCTGAGATAGAAGAACTGCCACAAGTTGAAGACCAGCCTTGACTACATAGTGAGTTCAAAGCCAGCCGGAACTGTATAGTGAGACTCTGTATCAAAAAACAAAACAGAAAGAAAACAAAAATAGGAAAAAAAAATTAGGAACATGTAAACTTAAGCTCAAATAATTTGGAATAATAAAGATACAAAGAGCATAAATTGTGGAACCATGCAGCTTCACATCTCCTGACTTTGCCCTTCCTTTCTCAAACTTAGAATTTCATCCGTAATATAAATCATAATCCAACCCTCAAAAGACAAGACTTTTATAGGTCAATGGATGCAACTAGAGACCATACTCACAGGTGAAATAAATCAGACCCGCATCCTGTAAACATCACAGCTTTCCTAGTGTAAGAAACTAAAAGGTACAATAGATATAGTGAAAGGAAAGAAACTGCTCACAAGGAAAGAACAACTGGGATGGCGGAAAGGAGAAACGAAGGAAGCAAAAATTTAAAAAAATATATACACACACACACAAAGATAGCTACAATAGTTATACTACTAATTTCTATTACTTCATTGAAAGGAACAGTTCGTGCTTATATTGTCTGATCAATTTTGCAGCCTATATCTTAAATCTGAGCAACTATTTTGAAGATAACAATATTCAATATAATAACTACTGTTAATTTCCTATCATCTTGTCTTGAAATTCTATATGGTTTTTATTTTTTCTCCTTAAAATTAAAAAAAGACGATTTAAGACCTGGTGTTTCTTCAGTATAATCCACATTCCTCTATATGTGTGACTTAACATTTTTGCATTTTTTTTTGTAACCAATAGTTTATAAATGAGCTGATTCTAAAAAATGTCTAAACTATTTGATGATTGCAAAAATCACAAAGAGTAGCTTAAATCAAAGACCACTGACAACTTACATAAACCCAAAAAGAGAGACATACAAAAAGTTTGTGAACTTTCCTATATACCTTGCAAGAACACAATCAAGATCCCAGAATGAACAGCTGAAGTGAACATTAAATTTCACTCATTTAAATACAGAGTAAGGAGATCAGTACTCCAGCCAATATGCTTATTAGGTGGCTAGCGGAACACTTTTCCTTAGAAGAGCAATATAAAGAACAGACGTGGTAACGGGAATCTTCACGTGAAAGCACAAAGCCCAACCACACCAGTATTTCTGCAATTGAGCACTGCCAATTTAAGTAGGTAGAAGCAAAATGTTGTTCAAACAGCTGGCCTCGAAACTCCCTCCAGACATTAAAAAGTCATCCATACCAATAAGACTGCAAAGGAAAAATACACAGTGGAAATTAAGAGGAAGTCTTAACAAAAGAAATGTGAAAGAAACTTTAAACAATCTAACACAGTGCTTTGCTAGAGAATGTACAAAATAAATGATATTGTTACAATTTAAGTAGAGAATTTAAATGTTTTTATTTTGAAAACACTTCATTAAAACAATCTTGAAAGAAAAAGACAGTAATTGGGCCAAGCATACAGCTCAGGGGCACAAGCGCCTGCCTGGCAAGCACAAGGTCCTGAGATCAATTCCTGGTACCAAAAAAGAAAAAGACAGTAACTAGATCTGTTTACAAAAGTAAAGGCACACTAGACTAGTTAACTCCGTAACAAGTCTTTAAGACAATGTCACCAGAAAAGGTAAGTGGTTACCTCGAAAACATCACACATTTTCAAATCCGAGGAGTTTCCAGACCAAAAGACCACCTACTGTGTGATTATTTATATAAAGTATCTGGACTATGCAAAGCCCTAAAGAAAGGAAGCAGACTGGAAGCTGCAGGGAAGAGGGAGGGAGCGACTGCTACTGCTAATGAAGACACAACTCCTTCCAGGAGTGATGAAAAGGCACTGAAATTACACAGCAGTGATTACACATCTCTGACATGTACATTTTTGAAGAGTGAATTTTATGAATATGGCTATTTTAATAAAACTATTACTAAAGAGTTAAATTTAAATTTTAAAAAATCTGACAGAATTCATAATATAGTGGCATAGTATTGCATACTATTGCAGACATCATTCAGAACATTCAATTGGTTTCAAAAGCCCTTTTCTACCTTGGCAAGGCGGCTCATTTGATCTTCGGAGACGGTGCTGCTGGTTCTCCCAGGAGTTTTTGTGGGTTCTGATCCATCTGCTTCGACATTAGGCCAGACTTTCAAATCATGCATCCCTTGGCGAAACATGCTAGGGGAAAAGAGTGTTCAGGAAGAGGTAAAGGAAGATGGCTCATTACAGGAAATTTTAAATCCTGAAAACAAAGCATTTTACACAAAGAGGAGCATTTCTCCCACACCAAGCTTTCGGCCCCCAGGGGTTGTACGGCAATGAACTAAGCAACAAAAACCCATATAACATTCATTTTCTCATGTTATCATTGTCTCCCTCAAGCCATCAGGACTATTTCAGAGAAACCTAGGAGAGGAAGGAGAAAAGGACCAACAGTGGAGCACATGCCACTTCACTGTTTCAGTGGAGATCTTAGTAATAGAGGTGAAATTTCTACCCAACAGAATAACGTCACATTTACAGTGACTGAAATTAAAATCTGAAAAGCTCTGGAAGCAACTGCTTCCTGTGACAATTTAGCATGTATGGGTTTGAGTCATAGCTGTGCCATCTATTACACACAGGATTTAGGACAAAGTCATCTAACCTCTCAGTATCTCAGTTTTCTCATGTACAAAGTGGGATTAATAGAGTACTGGTTCCTCACAGAGCTACTGCAAAAATTAAATAAATCATTACAGGTTAAAAAGCACTTAGAATACTTAGCATAAGCCAGGTGTGGTGATGTACGCCTGTAATCCCAGCACTCAGGAGGCTGAGGCAGGCAGATCACTGTGAGTTTAGTGAGCTCAAGGCCAGCTTGAACTACATAGTAACACCCTGTCTCAAAACAAACAAACAAACAAACAAAAAGAATATTTAGCATAGTAATTGGTCACTGCCACATAATAAGTATTCAATAAAAGCTAGCTGCTATCATTCTTTTCACAGCATAGGGTGGTTTTTCTCATGGGTTCTTTCTCATAAGGATATTTGAAAAGTGAATACAATACTCTAGTGTGTTCATGGAAAAAAAAAAAATCCGCACATCTACAAATCAGAAATACTATAGCACACAGTCAGTATTCAGCCTAAACCTGGTTATTCTGCTTTAAAGTAAAAGGATGTGCAATCTTTGGCAAGTTTCCTTCAAAAAAAACTGCCAAGAAGATCTACAGCAAAGGTTAGATAAGCTCATAAAGAGATTTAAACAATGTGATTCAATTATGCCAATGTCAAGTTCCTGAGTTTCATTTTTTATGAGAAACTAGAGATGATCTACCCTTAGTGCGCTGTCTTTTTATGTTTTTAAGTAAGACCTTTCAAATAATATAAAATCTACTCAAACAGCATCTCCACCAGAGCTTAAGACCAAGGTATTGACTACAATGGAAAGAAAAAGATGACAAATATGTGTAGAATAGAAAGTTTAAAACATTTCATGTAAGTACATATTTAGCAATTTTTTTAAAAAAACAAGACACATTTTGAACATAATTCTTTTTCAGTCTTTATAAGAAAGCATTTAGTTGCAAAAGATGTACATAAAATTTTTAACAGTTACAATGTTCTGACTAAAGGAAAATTTCTGAGGTAGTCAAGGGAATTTTCATAAACTGCCATAAACATTTAGATAGGAAGCTATAAAGGATAGCTACAAGCACATTAGCACAATAAAATTAAGGACCATATCTGTTAGAAGGTCTCTAAAGTTGGCAATAAAAAAGGTAATTCTAGCAACTATATTGGTGAAAGCTTACCTTATAGACTAAAGTTTTAAAATTACACTGGCTGTCAAGAATCAAATTCTCAATTTTTATTTATGTTAAAAATTTTTAAAACTTACAAAAACAAAAAAAAGTTGTATTACAAGGAAAGCACATTCGTGTGTTTCTTATAAAGTTATTTTTTTTTCCCTTTTAACTGATAGAGTGAATGTCTGGTAGACCTACTTAGAAAGCAACCTCTAAGGCCCTGGGCACATTGAGGTATTTTTTTTTTTTTTTTTTTTTTGGTTTTGGCTTTTCTCCGGTACCGGGAACTGAACTCACAACCTTGAGCTTGCCAGGCAGGCGCTTTTGCCGCTGAGCTAAATCCCCAGCCCCCACATTGAGGTATTAACACCGCTTTAAATGAATGTCCTTAAAGGTACCTTCAGAAACAAAAGCCTCCCTTCCTGGTCTCCGCCTTCCAGCCTCCAGTGAATACTCTGACTGGATGAATTTAATGAAAGCAGAAATACACACATTTGGCAGGGAGTCAGTCCACTAAATGATTTAGGAACCATGGGATGGGTCTAGAGAAGAGATTTAAGGATCAGGACTGTGGAGGGGAGGGGTGAGGCCAGGTGACAACACTGATCAAGGGAACATGTTACACTCTTTTGACACTAACGGGCCCTTGTGGAGTTATACAGCCTCCCGGCAGCAAAGCAGAAGGTGCTCAGGGCATCACGCCATGTGGAAAATTAAGCCAAACAGGCAAGACTGAAGAAACGGCACAGCGCTCCCTCCTTCACCTGCAGCGGAGGCCCCAGCAACAGCTGCTGCTGTAGTAGCTTGCAGTGCCCAGCCACTAACACAGCAAGTGCCTTAACTTCAGAACTCACATTTGGAAAAACCACCTGCATGAGAGCGCTGCAGCTTACCCATGGCTCTCTACCAACACAGCCTGATGATCAATCCACTTGCCACCCACTGGACATCGTACAAGCTAGAGGTGCAAAGTAGGAACAGTACATTATTCTAGCCCTATCCTGACAGATCAGTCTTCCAACCACTAAATACTCTTCAAGAAGTTCTCCTTCACGCCAAGTCCAGAATACAAAACATATCCGCAAATACCAAGAGCTGGAAATCACAAGATTACCAATACTATAATATTACAACAGGAGATGCTTTGAGGACTATTTTTACAAGCTGCTAAGTGTATACCAGGGGCCTGTAGAGAAAAAGGTAGGCACACTGGTGTTATACTTCACTGCATAAAAAGCATCTGAGGAAAATATGGTCTACGGTAAGAGAACTGTGGTAGCACACAACACGACTTCGATGATAGGTGGTAAATTTATGCACAGGTTTCCTGCTGAGGCCACCCAGAAGGCTCATTATTTCCTTGCTGGACATCAGCAGCGCCATGCAGAGAAGTATTAACAGTAACCTAGGGGCACAAGTGAATGTCTGCCCACTGCTCCACTATGGGACATTCAAAAGATAGGCTTCACAACGCACAGTATTGCAGGAAAATGCAGACTGTCTCTATTGCAACCCACGTTACCTTCTCGACAAGGCACAAGGACACAGAGAAAATGAGTTATTTTAAATTTCATAGGGTTCTTCACTAAATATACTGGAAGAGAAAGTAGGTAAAAATCTTGAAGACATTGGGTTAGGCAGAGAGTCCATGAACAGAAACCAAACTGCATGAGAAATGCTTCAAAGAATCAACAACTGGGATCTTATCTTATTGAAAAATTTCTGTACTTCTAAAGAAATCACTAGCAAAGTAAAAAGAAAATCCACAAACTGGGAAAAAAATTTTAGCCACCTGTCCCTCAAAGGACTTCTTAGAACTCATAAAGAATTTTAATAAATCAGGCCTCCAAAATTCAAAGACCCAATCCAAAAATAGGCATCTGAGATGAATATACATTTCTCAGATAAAGAAATACCAATGACAAAGAAATATATGAAAAGATGTTCAACATCATTAGTTATTCAAGAAATGCAAATTAAAACAACACTGAGATTCCATCTCACCCTAGAAAGAATGGCTATCATTAAGAAATCAACAACAAATGCTGGAGGGGCTGTGGCAAAAAAGGAATCCTTCTCCACTGCTGGTGGGCATATAGACTGGCACAACCACTGTGGAAATCAGTCTGGTGATTCCTCAGTAAACTAGGATTAGAGGTCCCATTCAACCAAGCTATTCCTCTCCTGGGTACTTTTCCAGAAGAACCAAAAACATCATACCACAGCGATACATGTGCAGCCATGTTTATAGAAATGCAATTTGTCATAGCTAAATCATGGAAATAACCCAAATGCCCATCAACAGAGGAATGGATAAAAAAGACGTGGTATTTTTATATAATGGAATATTACTCAGCCATAAAGAAAGATAAACTCAAGGCTTTTACTGGTAAATGGATGCAACTAGAGATCATACTCTTAACTGAAATAAATCAGACTCATATGTGTAAACACTGTAATGTCTCCCTAGTGTAAGAACCTGACAGAGTAAATAAAATCTGAAAGGTACAACAGATATTGTGAAAGGGGAAGAAACTGCTCAAAGGAAAGAACAACTGGGATGAGGGAAAAGAGAAAAGAAAGAAAGAAGGAAGGGAAAAATATGTATGTATCTATATACACACTCATATATATATGTATACATAAGATAGCTAAGATAATTGCACTACTAATTTGTATTATTTTATTGAAAGGAACAGTTAATGTTTAACTGTGTGATCAATCTTACATGCCTATATTTGTTTATATGAACAACCAATTTGAAGATAACAATATGTAATACAACAATCCTTGTTAATTTCCTATCACCTTGTTGGAAATTCAGTATTGTTTCTATTGTTTTTATGTTGTTTTGTTTACGTCTTTGCGTTTTTCATTTTGTTTTTGTGGTTTTCTCTTTAAAATAAAAATACATAAGTAAATAAATAAGTAAATTCCACAGGGTTCTTTAGAACTCCTTCTTCTGAAATGAAGGGGAATCTAAGTGCCTGGCTAGGGAGATCTACCATTTTTGCACTCCTTTCCCATTGTTCAAAGTATCCAAACACTTATAATGTTAACATATAATGTTATAATCTGGACAGCGGCCAAATATGGACTGATTAACAAAACATTGCAGGTATGGTGGTACATGTCTGTAATCCTAGCAATCCAGAGGCCGAGGCAGGAGGGTTGCCGTGAGTTTAAGGGCTGGGCTACAAAGTCAGCCTGGGCTACAAAGTGAATTCAAAGCCTGGCTGAACTACCTGCCTCAAAAAAAAAAAAAGCTAATGTAAAAATCTCACCTTCACATTAACTTGATAGTGAGATGAAAATCCCCTCACATCTGACTAGATATATACAGAACCATTTCAAGGAAAGTTTTTTGCAAGTATGCTTATTTTGCAAATTAAATAGATTTAGTATTACTTTAATATCATTTGATTTCATTAGGTTTTCTTCTTTTGATTTCTAAAACTGAGTAACATAGTTGTTTCCATTACATTTAGTTTAACTATTACCCATAATAAATAATACCTGTTTTTCATGTACTGCAGTGATATCAAATTTTCTCTTTAAAGTAATCGGAAGTGGCCGAGTTTGAGGCCAGCCTGGACTACTTAGTAAGTCCAAGGCCACCCTGGACTACGTACCAAGATCCTGTCTCAAAAAATAAAATAAAATAAAATAAAATAAAAGGAAGTCTGAAGAAAAAAATGAGCTAGACTTCAAGAAGTGGCAGAGTGGTGAACACTAGAGAAATGGCCTTCCTGAGAACTGGTGTCCAGATGCTGAAATGTAGCAACGTGAGGAAGAGAAGGAGGGAAGTGGGTCCCCAGGACCCAGCAAGGATCTCAAAAAAGAATTGAAACCCACAAAGACAGCAAAGAGTGAGACTTGTACGCAGAAGGACGTGGCAAGTAGCGCTCTCTCCCTGAGCCCAGACTGGCTGCACGGGAGGGGCAGCCTGAACCTGCAGACTCACAGTGACTACTGGTGACCCTACAGCCTTCCAGGGAGAAACACACCACTGGAACGGACCAGTGGACACAGTGGACTTCAGGGGCTGGTGAGTTATCCAGGCTGGTAGCTAACCTGGAGAGGGACCAACTGAATTTAGAACTCAGGAGCTGCAGGTGGCTCCCTCCAGTGTCAGGGTGAGGCAGAACCGAGTTCCAGTCTGCAGGAAGTCGAGGAACTGAGTTTGAGCTGGCAGGAGGCACACAGAGTGCTGCAGTCTGAACAAAGTGAGTTCCAGCCTCACAGCCAAAAACTAGCCTGAAATCCAGTGGAACTAAAGGCGCAGGCTTGCTGGGATGGCTTGCTGGGATTAATTAACACAGATCTGGGCTCTGTCTGCCCACACTGTTTGCACTGGAGAGCACAGATAGGCCCTGAAGTGGACATTTTTTTTCTTTTAATTTTTTGTTTGTTTTTTGTTATTTTATTTTGTTTTCTTTCCTCTGGCTTGTTCTTGTTTCTAAGAGTGTGAACACAGTTTCTTGGTTTTTTGTTGGTGTTATCGTTCTATTCTGTTCTTGTTTTCTTCTCTTTCCCTCCTATCTTCTTCACCAGTTTTCCCGAAGTTCGAGAAATATTCCCTGTTTACTAAGACAAAATAGCTACAATATGCAAGATAGTCTTCTATCTGCCAAAACACGGCCCTAATTCCTGATGACCTCATTTTTTAATAGAAATCACAATACCACACACTGAAAGTAGAGTGCTATAAACTGTTTCTTTATCTGCATATTCTGTAGAAAAGATGTGTGAAATTCAACCTCAAGAATTAACCAAGCCCTATGTACTTACCCAATTTTTATGTGCAGAACCAGACTGCAAAGTGACTTAGAGCCCTGCAGAAGATAAAAGAACCCACAACTTCCCAGCCTACTAATGGAACAGAATGCTCACCCATATTTTCCAAAGAGAGAAACAGTTGTTCCTCCTACAGGCACTGCTTTCCCTGGTCCGTACACATCCCATATGGTCAAGGCCACTTGGGCATTCCTGGGCAGGTCAGGGTATTTCACAGGCAGTTTGAGCCATTCATTCCAGCTACAAAAACAAAAGTCCAGATAAACCCATGTATATATCTCAGATTAACAAATCATACACGAAGATTTGACCAAATGAAAAGGTTTCAAAAAGATTATGTTAGTAGTCACCGTAATTTTGCTACTTGAAATGTAAGTATAAGACATGAAACATTTCAACAGAGCTCATAAAAAGTAACTGTTGGCAGGCGTGGTGGTACGTGTTGCCTGTAATCCCAGCACTCCGACGGCTGAGGCACAAATGCTGCAAGGCCAGCCTAAGCTATGTAGTGAGTTCAAGGCTATCCTGAGCTACAAAGTGAAAGTCTGTCTCAAAACAACACAAACAAACAAGAAAACAACTGTTAAATGCCTTCATCAAGAAATTCAGGGGCTGGGGATTTAGCTCAGCAGCACAGCACCTGCCTGGCAAGCACAAGGTCATGAGTTCGATTCCCAGTACGGGGTGTGTGGGGGGGGGCAAAACCAAAGGAAAACAAAAAGAAATTCATCAACAAATTTCATCAAGACATTCAAGCAGGGTGTGGTGGTGCACACCTATAATCCCAGAACTCTGGGAGGCTAAAGGAGGATTATAAACACAAACCTAACCTCAGCAACTTATTGAGATCTCTTCAAAAAAAAGAAAGAGTGAGGGGAGGAGAAGAAAATAGAATTAGAATGTGTTATGTACATGTACCACTTCATGATGAACGTAGTAATCATTATGTACTACAAACATGTAGTAATAAAAAAATTAAATTAAAATTTAATAAGTCTTAGGATATAGCTCAGTGTGAAGCTCCTAGATTCAATCCCCACTACCTTAAAAAAAAAAAAAAAAGACAGAAGGAAACAATTGCTAAAGAAATGCTGAGAAAACATTTCAAAGTGTTAGAAATTTTTGAAGCCAACGATCATTTTCTTAATTATGTCTATCACCATTGACTGGGTAGGTCTCACTATATAGTTCAGGCTGACCTTGAACCCACTGTGTAGGCCAGGTTGGCCCTGAACTCATGGTGATCCTCCTGCCTCAACCTCCTGAGTGCAGAAATACAGTTGCACACCACCATGCCAGGCTTGTCTAGCACCTTTTATATTGCAAAGAGTTACCAGTGTACTCCAGCCAGACATGTAATATGTGAGATTTTTTTGGTTCCTAAAGTTATTTCATTACTACTGGCAACAATTGGCTATGAGTGCTTTAGGCTTTCAAGCCCCCTCGCCATGCATTACCTCACTAAGGAATGTTTATTCGTAATACTATAGCAGTGAGAGCACACTTCTATTCCCTGAACAGCAAATGGCATTTGAATTTCTCAAAATAAAGCCAGCTGTGGTGGCGGCACAGCTGTAATCACAGCACTCGGGAGGCTGAGGCAGGACTGCAGTAGGTTCAAGGCGAGTTCAGCCTACATACGAAGTTCCAGCCACAGTGAGATCTTGTCTCAAAACCCAAAACATAAGTAAATATACACATAAGATACACGCATATACTATGTGATACAAAAACACTACCAATGAAATTGCACTAGTAAAGTAACTGGTTTTGATACAGCCAGATCACCGAAGCTCAGGCTTCTCTCTTAAGCACCGCTCCCACCTACACTGTGCAGTAACTCGGAGAAAGACGGCTCTGCTCTCAAAGGCACAATGCGGTTGTCCGCGTGGCCATGTCCTGGCTCTCCTGAACACTGTGAGCACAAGCTGCTTCCTTAAGAGCACACAATCGTATCCGGCACTGACGCTGCCAGAGTGCTGCAAAACGCTGCGTGAACGCTGCAAGTGCCTACACAACCTACTCAATCAGCACCGTCGAGAGATTAGACGAAGGACCCACAGCACTGCTCTGGAAAAAGGTCGGTGTGTTCATTAACCGGTATTACCCGGCATCCCAACAGTGCTCTGCCAATGTATGCGGCTGAGTAAACCAGGAACCTCAATAAATAGTTTCATATGAAATAATAATAAAAATCGTATCCAAACAAATGACAGCAGATCTCAGTTTGAGAGATCAGGTTAGATATATCAAAATAATACACTGACTACAAATATAAGTTCATTTCTACTTCAACTGTAATTATAATACCTATACGTATAATACCTTTTTTGTTTGAGATACGGTCTTACTAAGTCCTCCAAGCTCACCTTGAACTTGCGCAGCTCAGGCTGGCCTCTGGTTAGCCTCAAACTCACAATCCCCCTGACTCAGCCTCCCAAGTGCAGGGAATACAAGTGTGTGCCACAATGCCCAGCTTATATGCAAAGCACTTTATCTATGCATGTTATTGCTTTAGACTAACCAATGATACAGGTATAAAATTAAGAAATTCCTTTGTAATCCACACAAAATTATCCCTATTAGCATGATCTACAAAAAAAAAAAAAATGGACAGTCTAGAATCTACCATGTTAAAAAAAAAAAAAACTTACTTCCATCTTGTACTAAATGCCTTGTAGGATGTTCTCACTGGCAAAGCCAGAGGCTTCCCTTCTGCAAACACCTGACAAGTCACGTAAAGATCAGAACAGGTCTCTTGGTACAGCCCTGAAAACTTCAACATCGGGTCTTCTAGGACGGCTTTATAACTCTTTTGTTCTCTCTTCCCTTCCAAGCTTCCTCTGAAAGCACAAAAGTAACAATGTTTTAGACACATTTCTAAAGCACATACTGTACACATACATGTGCACAACAAAGACTAAGAAAAAGTTTGTACGTATCAAAGTAACCCAACACTACCTAAAGAACATTTTCTTGGAAATACAATTAAAGCCACTTTTATATCTGATAAAGGTCTCCATCTATCTTCATCAACATATTTGATGAAGGCTCTGTGTGAGCCTTCTTCATTTTATACCTTGCCACCAATTTTGTTTTTTTTGTTTGTTTGTTTCTTTCAGTATTGCAGATTTATCTGGGTGTGGTGGCACACGCCTGTAATCCCAGCACTCGGGAGGCTGAGGCAGGAGGATCGTCTCGAGTTCAAGACCAGCCTGAGCTACAAAGTGAGCTCAAGGCTAGCCTGAACTGCATAGTGAGACCCTGTCTCAAAAAGACAAAAAAAAAATAAAAAATAAAAAAGAACTGGAGATTTAAACCAAGGCCTCCGTACTGAGCTACACCCTCAGCCCTTTTCAGTCTTAGGATAGGGTCTCACTATGTTGCTAAGTTGCCCAGGCTCAGCTGAAATTGTAATCCTCCTCCCACAGCCTCCAAGTGCTGGGATTTCCCAGCCTCTGCATTACCACCAACTCAATCGATCTCCTAAAGGTCATCAGCTTTCCAAGTTTTAATTTTATTTCATTCAAACTGATCACCTATTTGCCCATTTTTTACAACAAACATTAGCTATAGTAAGCACAGAGCCCAGAAATGAAAACAAGATAATATAACACTGCAAGAAAATGTTAAATTGCCAGGAATGGTGGCACACACCTGTAATCTCAGCACTCAAGAGGCTGAGGCAGGAGGATCGCTGTTAGTTCAAGGCCAGCCTGAACTACATAGAGAGACCCTGTTTCAAAAAAAAAAAACCCACAAAGACAAAAGAAAAACAGATTTTAAAGAAAATGTTAAGTCATTGCTTCTAGGAAGAAAAACTTACTTTTAATTGGATAATATTTTTGTAGTCTTTTTCTTTACTATGTGTATGTATTATCTGACCCTTAAAATTTGTAAAAAGTACACTGTTATAAGTCATCATAGATATGCACAGGACACTATTAAAGAAGTAGAAATAGCTGGGCATTGTGGCGCACACCTGTAACTCCACCATTTAGGAGGCTGAGGCA